CATATATATATATATATAATATTGACATATATATGTCATATATATTATATATATATTTTCTGATCTTTAAACTTCTCAGAAGTAAGAATTATTTTGAGAGCAAATTTTATCATAGAGAAATATGAAGTAATTACTGAAATAAATTGTCAGATATTTTGAACTTTATATTGAGTAGCTTTTGTATTTTCTATGAATAGAACACCACAGGTAATAACAACATATAATTTCAATTCTTCCTTAGATTTTGATGGATGGAATCTTTCTTCCTCTGCTGGGAGCCTATGTTTGCCATGAAATGTATTCCCATGGTCTTTTCAGGAAATTTACATGGAGAAATGGGATTAATGTTAGGATTTTTCTTTTCTTAAAGTATTTTTTTAGGTGAAACTCCTACATTTTTCAGAGAAAATAGATGGAGAATAAACTTTTGGTGAATTTGAAGTTATCCTAATTTGCATCATACAACTGAAATATGTTAGCATTTTATTCTTTCTTTAGTCCTCACTCAAGGACATGCTATGGATTTTAGAGACAGGAGAAGGGAGGGAGAGAGGGAAAGAAGCATCAATGCTTGGTAGAAACGTCTGTCAGTTACCTCTCATAGGCGCCCCTTCTAGGGACTGAACCACAACCTAGGCGTGTGTCCTGACAGAGAATTGCTTCAACCAACTGAGCCACACTGGCTAAGGCAGTATTTTTTCCTTAAATCTGGATTTAGTAATTGACAAGAGACTGTTAGTATAATCTACATTGGTATTTCTCAAAACAGAGTCCTAGAGCCATCTGAATTACAATTAATATTGGTATTTGTTGTTTTTTTTTAAGATTTTATTTATTTACTTTTAGGGAGAGGAGAAGGGAGGGGGAGAGAGAGAGAGAGGGAGAGAAACTGCATTGCATTACAGATACATCCATCGGTTGCCTCTCACATGCCCCCAACTGTGGACCTTGCCCACAACCCAGACATATGCTCTGACTGGGAACTGAACCAGCAACCTTTCAGTTTGCAGGCTGGTGATCAATGCACTGAGCCACATGAGCCAAGGCTAGTGTTTTGTTGTTGTTTTTTTAAAAATAATATTATATCAGAACTACGGACTCAGAATTAAGTAGATCAATAGGCAGAGGGGAAGGATCTGAATTTTATAATTTTCACATGTTATAAATATTCAAGTTGGGGAACTTGATATATCATGATGCCTAACACATGGCATGCACACTTCTATTTCTTTATTGCATATTCATTGCAGAAATTACTAATTGAACAATAACAGTGCAGTGCCTCGACAGATAGATGGCTTGACAGATAAAGTAACCTCTCCTGACACTATTCTTAGGCAAAATAATCTTTAAAAACATAGTTAAGAATTCGGACATAAACACTGATATTCTTTAAGTTATAAATAGGTCTCAGAAAACTTTGCACAAAATATTGCATATAAAGTTTCTAATAGAGGAGAAATCAAGTCTGAATTTATAAAAGTGTCAATGCTGGAAATCATATTGATAATAACAAAAAGTAATCAACTATGGAAGAAAACATAAAAAGATAGAGTTCCTTAAAGGGCATAGTAGAATGAGGCCACTAAAGACTCTTTTTGATTCCACTTTGTAGCTTCTGAAAGCTTGAATGTGCATTGCATAAATTATTTTCATCGTTATTACCTAAAATAGACATGAAAAAAGGTATTTTTCATACATTATGTTCAAGGCAGTTTGTGATACATTTTAGAAAGTTCCCAACCCAGGAAGTTAAAGTGAAAGGCACCCATAAATATAAATTCTCTAACTGATAAAATTAATGAATAATTTGCAATCTTAAGATTTCACATAATTCATTTTTACAATCCATATTAACTTTGTTTTATTCTCTTATTACAATACTATTTATTGAAGACAGTTAATAGTATTTACACATTATCTTTTCTTGTTATCATACTCTATAAAATCAAAGATTTTTGTAATATGATTATTTCATGTAATGAATGTAGAATTAGAATATGAAATTGACTGTCAAATAATTCCTATAAGATGATAATTTTCAATTTTAATTTCTATTAAATGCCTTTGATAAATATGTTAATGGTGATGGTTTCTTACTGAAATGGTAAATCAAAAATATAAAACACATTTATTGCTTTTTGATGACTATACAGGCTGGATTTTGTAAATAGTTGGATGCAGATATATTTAGTATAGAAACAATGGCTTATGAGAGTTCTATAGCAAATAAATCCTTTTACAAAAATACTTTTGACCATTCTTTTCAAACAAATATTTACCATGTTAACATTAACACATAAGCATAAAAATCTAGTTATTATTTTATGTATTTTTAAAAATATAAAGATTGTGGAAACATGATGATTAATTTTTTAAAAACATGCATCACCTCATTTTCTATTTAAAATATTACTAAAATTAATTGTTTTATGTGAAGTTGACCTGCTACTTCAAGAAGGCAGTTTCAGAGACAGTCGTTAAGGGAATTGCCTGTGACAAACATACCATAAATTTCATGGCTAAATTAAAGCGATTTCTACCACAACAATTTCAAATTCTCCCTTTTCCTTACTGGAATCCTTGGAACAAGCATTGGACTTAAAGTCAGGAGATATAACTTCCAGTCATGGCTTCTATTTGTAGTTACGATTATAAAGGAAAATCGTGTGGTTAACTAAGTATATGTAGTTGAACATAGTAGTTCATTTTGTGATCCTGTGAACATCGGGGAAAGAGGCACTTAACACTTAAATACAACTTCATCTTTATGGGAAGAAAGAACTTCAAATGGTTTGGTTAAAATAAAGGCACAAACGTTTAAAGATGATCGTACCACATAGTTGAAGTATTAACACTCAACTATTTCATTGACAATAATAAAGATTTGTGTCTCCCTACTTGCTGTCAGCAATTACATCAAGGACCATAATTGTGTTCTATTTAAAAGCAATCTAAGGTAGGAATGTTCACTGAGTGCCTCTATAAGCTTTAATTATAACTTATAAAAAGAAACATTTTAACTGTTCTTATTTAACAAATTCCACAATATTTAATTGCTCTTAAACTTTACTCTGAAAATAACCTGGAATTTTTTTGGTAATGCTGCTTTAAAAGCAACTAATTTTTTTACTGAATAACTCTGTAACTCTAGCTAAATGTAACCAGAATATATAGTTTGTTGGGAGTATTTTTCTGACTTTTAAAAGATACCTTTACAGAAAATAGACAGCTGCTTTGCTCCTATTTTTAGTTTGACATCATCTGTAAAATTCTAAGGAAGTTTGATCAGTCATTAAATGATGGCTTGATAATACATGATAACCTAACACTATTAAACAGTAGACCTCTTCTCATAATTTCCAATATGAGCATTTGATATTTATTTAGCTGTACTGATATTTTCTATTTAAATTTATTTAAGCAGTTAAAGCTTAACTATATCTATAGTACTAACATAAGTTTTTGTGTAACAGTAACTTTTAACATTAATCTTTTTTAAATTTTTTAGCTTCTTTGTTTCTAAGTATTCTGACTTATTACTATATTCTCATGAATATTCTTCAGTTTTTTCCACTTTCACTTCGTTTCCTGATATTGCACAATTATGGTCTCTTTTCCATTCCAGTAACTAAAAGGATATATAATAATTTAAATTTTATTCAGCCAGATTATAAAGGAGGTAGAAGAGTATTTGCAAATTGGCTTGATTTTTATGTGTGCAATGTCCCATCTACTTTGTTTGCATTATATATTTATTATTGTTGAAAATAGTTAATTTTCTCTTTTATCAGGACTGCTGACCTTTTTTAGTACAACTGTATTGAATAGCTAGAGGTAAGGAGTTTACAAACCTCAAGTAATATTATGGTAAGTTCCCTGAAGTATTGCCAATTACATTAGCAGAAATGAATTCCTTACCATTACTAAAGGAATAGAGTTGTAGAAGAATAGACAATGTAAGGGAGAACACTGCCTATGGTGTTGGATTTAAAAAGAATTTCTAAGGCACTATCACTCCTTGACACATGGGAAAGGAATTTCTTTGTAATCAGTTTCTTCCAGTTGGTTCTTCAGAGTTTTCATTGGAGGTATTTATCATTCATAAGTCTTTGATATCACAAATGTTAATGACAAATGAAAAGGAGAATCTTAATTAGTGGGTATGTCTGTCAAAGAGCTAGCTGCCATTTGGGGGGTTATTAATGTTCATAGAGTTGATATTTTTCCTGTAGAATGCTGCATGCTTAATATACTTTTGAAATTCATGCACTTGGATGGAAATCTGTTGTCTTAAATTGATCATTTGATTTTTACCCTAGTTTCTTCTTAATATTCAGGGATACAGGGACTACTAAGAAAATAGTTACGAAACTGTGATTACTTTGATAAATAGAAAATTTTTAAGTCTTTGGTGAAGAATTAATGAATTATTTTATTATCAAAAATTGGGTCCCATGAGAAATGCCTATGAGTAGAAAATATTAACAGATGATGAAATTTCCTATTTGGTAGTGAAAGAAAGAACAAAAATCTTATGGAGAAATTAAGAAAAATTAAATGGCTCTTATTAAAATATTTGTGTATTTGTCATTTTTAGATATAAATGATTGAGGTAACTGAGTGATAAAAATGTGATGTCACTATATTTTTTCTCTTTTAAATCACATGGTTATATAGAAGTTTATCTTAACATAAGAAATTCTTTTTGTGTTATTAAATACATTTTCACCTTTACAACCCAAAGACTATCTCACAATATCCTATTTTGTTAAGTGATGCTAGTTCTCCAATAGTGTGTATGTTCCAAAAGCGAATTAAAATTTTAAGAGGATTCATTGCCTTACAATTCTGATTTTATGCTTGTCTTTTGTTGCTTGTTAAAATTCCAGTTGCGTTGATGTGTGGCCAGGATCTGAGAATCAGTTAGTCTCCCAGCTAGTGAAAGGCCAGAGCTAGCAGCCTGTACTTCCGTTTGCCCTTAACTATTCGATTCTCAGATATTGACCAGTGGAACAAAGTAATTGAGCAGTTAGGAACACCATGTCCGGAATTCATGAAGAAATTGCAACCTACAGTAAGAAACTATGTGGAGAATCGGCCTAAGTATGCAGGACTCACCTTCCCAAAGCTCTTTCCAGATTCCCTCTTTCCCGCTGATTCTGAGCACAATAAACTCAAAGGTAAGCCCCTCAGGGACAACTTCAGAAGCACCATGTGGGTGATGGGCTAGATAAGTAAATGGTAGAGACACCTCTGTAACTTGAACTACCACAATTTAAGGAGAGGTATTTCTTTCTTTTTTTATTATTTTACTAGAATTTTGTTGCATTGAATATACTTGAAATAACTTGTTGGCTAAGGCTGAGAAATCCGTATAATAGTGAGTTTTTTATTATGATGGTTATTTATTGTAAGGGTATCTAAAAAGTAATGCAACACAGTTATAATCATGAATATAATCAACACTGTGCAAGTGCTAAGGGAATACAGCAGGAGATTAACTAGAGACTGGAGTCCTAGGACTCCGCCAAGGGTTTCTAATTGATTTGGAGGAATATTCTGGTTCTGGAGAGGTATTTCTTAAAGTATCTTTCTTCCAAAGGGCACCTGGTGAAAGGTTTTAGAATTGTCTGGATATTTAGATAATACCAAAGTATGCAACAGTCCAGGTTTATTATTTCATGGACTTTACTTAAAATCTTAAAATTATTTTGCAGTGTAATTCTAAGACCAACGTACTATATATTGAAATCATTGTTTCAATTCTTTTAATTACCTGGGAAATATTTTCAACACAATATTTTTGTTATAAAATCTTGGAGAAGCAGGTGTCTGAGTTTTAATTGTATTTTAGGGAAAGTTTAACTGCCTTTTAAAAAAATTTAGGGTGACAAATGAGATTTTACCTACACATGTCACATTCAATATAAACACTGTCATTAATAAGTAATTCTTCATTCTACTATGTCTATAGTCATGAACTTTAGTAACAGATCTTATTTTCTTCTCCCACAAAATTGGGATAATGCAGGGTGTGGCAGAAGTAACTAACATCTGCTTGAGTGTGGTTGGTAGGGTAATAATATGGGCATAATAATTTATAGTTTTAATTTGAACATTTCAGCTCAAATATCATATGGTGTGCTTGAATGTGATATTGTTATGTTATAGAATTACATGCTTATGATTTTGTAATTAAAAAAAGAGAGTCATTTGTCAGATTCTATAATGCCTCAGTCACAGGAATGGGGACAGGGAATAAATTTGTATGAAGTATAATATAAATAAAAATTTAATTCTTTAACTTAGGACATTTCTGAGAACGTCCTAAGTGATTTTTGAAACAAATTTGATTTGGCCCCTCACGTTATGCCAGGCACACAGTGAATAAATAAACATTTAGTATTTTATAAACTGAACCAAATCTTCCACATCAATTTGATTACTAAGTCTTGTGGATTTTTTTCTCAAAATCTGCCCTCTCTTCTCTGTCCTTAAAGCTTCTGCTCCCGTTGAAGTCATCTTCATCTGTCTCACTCTCAGAAATGTCAACCCTGACCTTCTTGCCTCCCTTAACTGCTTTAGCCCTTTTCCTAGCTCAGAAAAGCTTTAAAAATCAGCTGTCTACACTTATTCCATCTACTACCTTTTTAAAAACTAACCTTTTAAACTTATTTTCATTTATGTGAGCAATACATGTACATATTCTCTCCTCCTCTGAGGTATTTTCAGTTTTTTGATTATCTTTATAGACCTTTTCAAGGCATATATATACAAAAATATAGAGAGGGAAATATTTCTTGTTTTGTTGAGAAAGCGCAGATTTGTACACATAGTATCATGATCTATAGATCATTCTGTAACTTTTTTTTTCCACTTAACATCTCCATGTGAATATACAAGGTTTGTCCAGAAAGTATCCAGACATGTACTATGAAAAAATAAAGATATTTATTGAAGAAGACACAAGATACAAGAAACATAGTGCATAGGACAATGATGCCTCAGTCCCCTCGAAGAATAAACCTTGGGAACTCACACAGTTACAATTGCAATTATATTTTTCTGAATCTCACTGATGGTCTGAAATCTTTTCCCTTTCAAAGGTGATTTTAGTTTTGGAAAAAGCCAGAAGTCACATGGCATCAAATCTGGGCTGTAGGAGGGCTGAGTCCCCTTAGTGATTTGATGTTTCACCAAAAAACCCTGCACAGATGTGAAGCATGCTGGGGGCAAACTGTCTTGATGAAGCTGCCAATCACCAGTTGCCCATAGCTGTAACCTTTTGAATCATCCAAATAGTTTCTGCAGGAAACATTCAAGCTTAACACAAGATTTGATGCAGAGTCATTGCTCTGTACTTGCTCAGTCATTTTGAATGCGACAGCCACACAGTACACATGCTCATTCAATGGCGCCTAGTGCCCTCACTGACTAGTACAGTGAAGTCATCATTGTTCACACATGTGCATTGCAGTCTACTCGCCTTGGCTGCCAGGTTACATCAATGTTACACAAACTGTTCTTGTTTTATTAACAATGGCTGGACTTTTTCCAGATAGATCTCATAGAGAGAGCTACTGCATTCTTCTAAATTGCCAAATATAATTCCAAGGTATGGTTGTTATCAAAGGCCAATAGTTACTCTATAAATGCAAATCTAGACTGTTCTAAAACTTTATTCCATAACCAATTCTGCAGCGAACTCCCCTTCTGTATGCGTTACATGAACATGTGCACTTGTTTCTCTAGACTGTATATTTAAAAGTGGAACTTCTGAGTCATAAGATATTCACATCTTACACTTTGATACTGCCAAATTTGCCTTCTAAAATATCTTAATTAATTCGTGTTCCCACCAACATGAATGAAATTACCTGGTATTTGTGGATATTATACCATCTATTACTCTTGCAGATCTGATGGATAAAAAAGTATTTCATTGTTTCATTTTGCATTTCCCTAATCACTTGGTAAAGTTATGTGATGGTCAGGAGGAAGGTGCTAGTTGACTTATTTTTTTCATTTCTTCTCCCTCCAACAAATTTCTTTGCCAAAATCAAAATTTTACTAATTATTTTTCTCATTTATCATTCCAGCCAGCCAAGCCAGGGACTTGTTGTCAAAGATGCTAGTGATTGACCCAGCCAAGAGGATATCAGTGGACGATGCCTTACAGCATCCATACATCAATGTTTGGTATGACCCTGCCGAAGTGGAGGCGGTAAGGCCTAGGCTTCTTTAACATTCCTTCCACAAACAGATCATAGCAAATGGGTGCTCAGTGGTGAAAACTAAGAGATTTAGAACACTCAAATGGACCTTCATGAACTTCCTAAGGCACAAAGTTATTACTTCTCCTCTATAAGTTATTTTCTTCTACTTATGTTTTAAATGCATTTCTTTTGCAGGATTTTCTATGAGAGGTGGTGAGTTAGTCCAACAAAGCTTAGCTGTCCATGAAACTCTTCCATTTGTTTTTATTAAATTGTCAACTCCTCCTTTGTGTTTATCAGCCTCTCCTGATGCCAACTAAGTAGCAGAAACTGTAATAGAGGATAAGTTACCTTCCCTCTATATCTTTGGAAAGTTGCCTGCCATTAGTAAAGTGTAGTACCAAAAATATTTGGGCTATAAAGCTTATGCCAGGCCATTGGTGACTTTATGAAATCTTGCGTAAATTAGATGAGAAAAACTGGGTATTCCAATAAAGACATTATTCAGGTTGATTCTAAAAGGAATACCACAGTAAGGTATAGCTCTATATTTTAAATCTGGATGCAATTTAAGAATCTCCCCAGAAGCATAACTCTCTTCTTTTTCCTTTTTTTTAAACTACTTTTCAGTCATTTAATATCTTTTCTTCACTCACTTACATTTTAACCTTTCTCCTTTTCTCTGTGTGGAGTCTGGGCTGTGCAGCACAAATAGGGTATTGTTGCCCCATTGTTTTATAGGCCTCCTGCTGGAACTGTCCTTTTGTTACTTTTTAAAATGTTAACTATCAGCAATGTTACATTTTCCCCAAAACATCAAAATCTTTAGAATACCTGTGCTAAATTATCTTATTTTCTTTTACATAATACTTTTAAATTACTTTGTTTGAATTAGTTCTAAATCTTCTTCTATCTGAAATACTCTTTTCGCTTGTTTTCTTGTATCCTTCTCTGTTCCCTGACTATTCTTGCTCGAGCATAGTTTGCATTGTTTCAGCTTCATTTCCTCTGCTTCATTGTATGCTTGCCCATGTCAGAGATGCTAGATTCAAACAGACATAATTCTTATCCTTTCATTCTTCATGGAGAAGTGAGCTCTGATGGGTGGGATTGAGGGTAGGGTAGAATCAAATTTTATAGACATAATATTTAAAAACGCTACTTTTGATAACAACTGAAGCACTCAAAAATTTCAGAGAAAATACTTCATTGATAAAGGAGTCTCCCAATAGTGGAAGCAAGTGTATAATCCTCGATAATATTTTTTTAAGATCTGCTCTCTTGAGCAGTTTTACAATGATGAAATTTCACTTTGCTTCAAATTAATTTTTACTCACTTGATTTGATTTTTACAAAATACAAGTCCTAAAATTAAATATTTTAAGTATAATTATAGTAAGCTTAAAACTAAAAAAGTAGCAGTATTACAACTAAAAAAATAGAACCTTTTCTAATCTCTCATTCTTGGGAAATACGTTCAAAGATATTGTTGGGATAGAATGAAGTAATGAAATAAGTAAGATAAAGTATGGTGTGAAAATTTCACATGTGAAAATTAAGTATGAGAATATTTTTCTCTGTTGATTTTCAAGAAAATATTTTAGATTATGTTGATAAAAAGACAAACTGACAGTAACGAGAGGGAAGGAAAGAGGGGAGTAACAGGGAAAAGAAGGGGAAGGGTCAAATCAAGGAACATGTGTAAAGGACCCAGGGACAAAGCCAAAGTGGGGAAGGATTGAGGGTGGGAGGTGGGGGTGGGTGGGGAAGCGGAGGGTGGTGGAGGGGAAATGGAGACAAACGTATTTGCACAATTAAAAAAAAAAACTTTAGACAAACAAATTATTTGAAATTGTTGCTCCTTGTTTATTTTGATATTTCAAATTTTGTGGCACATTTTCCCTTACATCTAATGTAATATGTATAATCTGTCTTTAATGTATTGTGGCCTAGAGTTTAATTGGTGTCATAAAGTCTGCATTTGTAATTCACTTGTAATTATGTTGCCTATGAAAGAGAAGACTGCTTAGCATCTATAACAGTATATTAATCAAGAGTCTTAATGAGCTTTTAAATTTATTTTAACTTTTTATGAAAAATTCCTTTGAAGGATAAAAAGATGAAATTTGGGGTACTAAGATGGCTAGAACCATTTTTTCAACCATTTCAGTATTGTGATGTTGTGGTATGGATACCACAACACAAGACTTCAAATTGGAGGAGAAAGACATTATTGAGCCTGAAGGTCAAGGAGAAAGGATCAGTTAACACACAGAACAAGCAAGTATTTAGCAACTTGACTGAGATCATTCGTTATACAAGGGTAAACATTTCACAGCCAGCAATGTTGCAGTGAATAAGGTGGAATCCTGACCCTGGGACAAGCTTAGTTCTCTGCTCTATGAAATGTGTCACAGAGGTCACAACTAAGGATGGTAGAAGCACTGGTCGCTATGCTTTCCGCAATATCCTTAGAATTAGTGCCTTTGTTATCACGTGTGGACATATTTTAATGGAAGATGACCTTTCTTTACAGACACATGGCAAAGCTATAATGGAATGGTATGTTCTACAGCCCAAACAAATGGAAATATGAAATAATCAAAATGTCCATGGTTAGGAGTCATCAGAATATCTGACCTTAAATAACTTTTAAGTAGCTCATGTTAGAGAGGGAGATAAATTCAAAGACAAGAAGAAACAAAAATAAGTTTCATTGGAAGAAAGTAAAGGCAAGTGGAGTTAGGGCTAGAGGAGAAAGTGGAAAAGAATGTGATGGCTTCAGGAGAGTAGGAAGAAGAGCAGAGAAATGCTATGTGTACTAATCTATTAATCATGCCACAGGCTATCTTTTCACATTTCCAAAAGAGCCACAGTACAGAATGAAAAGAGAAGCGCATATGAATGCTGTCCCTAACACTGAGAGAAAATTATTCATGTAATCATGAAGTGGAAAAATATAAAAATCATATGTTAAGGTTAATAGTTGTCTACCTGGCTAATAGGACATAAAGATTTTGAAGTTATAACTGCTCAAATTTTACCAAGTTTTTATTCAAATAATGTTTAGAATAATAAAATCACATGTCCCACATAGAGCACAAAGGCCACATTTAATGTCAATGCTGTTTCACAAAAAATTGGGAGACATTCTAACTCTCAGTATTCATCAAAAGTGCAAAGATACCACGCAACATATTGAGTTGTATGCATCTTCACAGGTATAAAAGATGGGTTAGGTTTAAATTTCTCTTTCACCACTTACTGTCTGGTCAAGTTTTTTAATCTTTCTGCCACTCAGTTTCTTTTTTCTATCAAGAATAATAAACAATTCTACTTACTGATTAGTGTTCATCTGAGAATTTAAAGAGTTAATGTTCATAAAGTGTTTAGTACAGAACTTGGCAGCCAGTGTCATATAAATTTCTATTAGTTATTACTATCACTATAATGACTTTTACATACAAAGCTTTACTAGCTTTCATATTAGTAATGACAGATATGTATTCCGTGAAAAAGACTAGCTGGACAAGAAACTGCAGGAATATACTACAACATTAAAAATAATCACTGAAAATGATCTAGTTCCTACAAGATTTAAAATGTTTTCTTTTTTGCTGATATATACACACCTCTACATTTCAAGTGTTAGAGAATCCAGTGCCATTAATTTTAATCAAAATAAAGACAAACGATATAGTTCAAATTCCTCATTGTAACTATCCTTATGAAACTAGGGGACATTTGGGGCTATTTGTGGGAATCAATTTGAATATTTACCCTGTGCTCTCTTGGAGGGGAAGATGGAAATAGCGAGGATTCGTTGCCTTGCGTCTTACCAGATTCTTCAGTTTAGAGATCCTGCTATGTTCCAGAGGGTGGCTTTCACCCTGCAACCCCTGAGAGCAGAGGTACAGAGAAACTTTAAGAGTATTTTCACAAGCTAAGGAGGAATAGTTTAACTGTGTCTCAAGGCATATGAAAAGAGAAATTAAGAACATTAAAGGTGACCATTTTTAAAAAACACAGTTTTATTTCTCTCAGACGCCATGAGAAAGCAGCTGAGTGCAGAAGCCTTACGGACGGTTTCTGTAGCAGCTCTGCACTGCTGGGGATGGGAGAGGGAGAGGCGGGAGAGGGAGAGATGCGTTCAGCTACCAAACCAAAGGGCATCAAAACTGCAAGGAACCATCATAAGGGAGCCAAGTTAAACTTACAGGGCCAGAGAAGATCATTTCTTTATTCCTAAATTCATGACAAAAAGGAAGGATCACCACCTGATACTGGAACCATTGTCTAAAAGGGATTGGGTTTGGGGCCAGGCTTGCAGGCAGCAGTGACCTGTCAGATGCACTGTTGTGTTGAAGCTTCCATCTCAGAGAGGCCCAGATAGAGTCCTAAATGGTGAAAATGTTACTCTGGGAAGCTGGACAGAGGAGCAGGTTGAACCTATCAGGCAGCTGGTTTCTAAGATTCTGTTCTCCAGTGGGCATGCCCTGGCTACTTGAAAACCCAGAGGAGTGGTGGCAAACAAGATAGGACTTTCCATATGGCAGCCAAATCAAAGTTATGGGACAGAATGCTAGAACAGAGCCTTGGAACGTGGGGCTACAGCTGAGAAATAGACTGAGGGAGAAGTTGGGCATGTTTTCATTGGGAGTGTAAGTACACGTAGAATCCTTGTAGAGACAGAGGGGAAAAGTTGTGACTAATCCAAATCGAACTAGTCTGAGTGGAGTGTGATTAAGGAAGCAAGACCAATGCTGCACTTGTTTATAATTTCCTACCTAATTCAAGATTAATTTGGGAATTGGAATAGAGCTAGACAGGAATTTCATCTACTTATACAGATCCTGAATTAAACAACCTGGTCTTCAGATTCCAGTGAGAGTGTAACCTGGGAAACAGAATAACACTTATGTGTATTAGTGCTAAAGTTCAATTAAAATAAGCACTTAGAAAATGTAAACATAGAATAGTCACTAATGTTATACATTTACTGTTTGTT